AAACTAAAGACTCGTCAGCAACAGCGCCGCGAACGACGGTGAGCGAGCCGGAGAGAGGAGAAAGGACGGCCCCGCGTCTCGGCCTATCGTCTCAGGTCCTCGAGGATCTCCTGAACCGCCGGATGCAACGACAGCACCAGCCGGCTGGAGCCGCCCGAGGAGCCGTGAGAGCTGTAATTGTCATGTGACGCGCCGTTGTTGTTGTGCTGTTGCTGCTGCTGTTGCTGCGCCTGTTGCGGGTGCGGCTGACGACCGCGCTGCGACTTGCCGACGGTGGTCGCGCCATCGACAGAATTGAGCGACTGATGACTGCTGCTCTGGTTCGCCCGGTGATTTCCGTGCAGCTGAGACTCGGACAAGCAGTCGTAGGAGCCGAGCGAATAACGATCAAAAATCGTCACCGGTAGCTCGCTCGCGCGCTCTCTCTGCTGCTGGCTCTGCCGCTCCGCTTTGCTCGAGGGAATGTCGCCGGTCGAGGCGTTGTTACCGCTCTGGAGCTGGCTGTTGGTCTTGCTGGAGCTTCGGTTGCTGATGGAGTTGAGCGACTGGTGGCCGCTGCTGCTCAGTCCCGCCGCCGCCACCCAATTGCTGCCGTAGTAATTCGCGCAAGTGGACACTATGTCCTCCATCAAACGATTGTTGTATTCGAAACCGCCTCGTTGTTGACTCGTCGTTTTACTCGCGGAGATGTTGTCGGTAGTATTGTTGCCGCTTTGCAAATTGTTGGTCTTGCTCGAGGAACTTCTGCCGCCGCCGCCGCCGCCGCCACCGCCACCACCGCCGACGGAGTTGAGCGACTGGTGGCCACTGTTCAATCCTCCCGCCGTGCCCCAAGTGCCGCCGTGTAACTGAGACCCGCTTATGTACGAACCGCCGTAACCCGCATAAGTGGACGCCATTTCCTCGATTTCCCCTCTGCAGCGATTTCTGTGGACTTCCCTCTGTGGACCCGTCGCCTTGCTCGCGATATCGTCGTTGGTGTTGTTGCCGCTCTGTAGATTGTTGGTTTTGCTAGAACTCCTGCTGCCGGACGCGGACGTTCTCAGTGTGGAACCGCCGGTGGTCGCGGGCTGCGCCGACGTCACCGCCGGTAGCGTGTCGTTCTTGTCGCCTGGCGGCCTGGGCAACCGGCGGCGCAGCCACGGATGCCTGAGCGCCTTGTTCGGCGTCATCCGAAACTCTGGCTCCCACACGAGACACCGTTTGATAAAGTCCAGGAACAGCACGTCGTCGCAACCCTTCAGGGCGCGTTCGAGATCGTGCGAGCCCGGCGGACCGCGCAGCTTCCCTCGTCTCGACAGACCCCCGCTTAGCACTGTCGTGCCGTCCGGCATCGCCGTCGCGGTGCAGTACTTCGGGTAGCCCTTCGAGCTGATGAACTGCCGCGACCGCTTCGAGTTCTGCAGCAGCCGCTGCGGCGGCATGCCCAACATCTCGATAATGCACGCCAGTTGGTCCGCCTCGTCCTCGCCCGGCAGCAGCGGGAAACCGGTAAACAGCTCCGCGAGGATGCAACCGAGGCTCCACATGTCAATCGGCATGCCATACCTTGCGCCCAGTATCACTTCCGGTGCACGATAGAAGCGACTCTGTATGTAAGTATACACCCGCTGGTTCTCGTAACAGCTCGAGCCAAAATCTATCACCTGAAACATGCGAAATAGTTTCGTTAATTAGTAAATTATTAATTTGATTAAATCATTATATATTGGAAGAAATAGGAAGGTAAGTCGAGGAACTCGGTTGCATTTCTCGTATACACAGTTTGACAAAAAAAATCGATCTTAAAACAAGCTGAAGCCAATGAAATTTTAATCGAGAGATAAAGAAATTATATATATAGTTACAATATAAGAATCATTTATTTAGCAAACGTTATATACAGACTAATATTTTATAAAACCAAATGTCACGGACTTTAAATCACTTTATCGAAGAACGTCTTTTGTAAATCAAACTTGTTATGTCGTTAGTTTTAGCAGATTTTAAAAATCCGAAAGTAAACGTTATTTATTTCATAGAAAAACACAAACTAAAATATTATCGAAAGGTATAGAATCTTCACTATCGATTTTTTTTATATTCGACATGACATTATGCGTCATGTCGCAATATATGCGCACAGTGAGATATATTTACTCGTGAGAATCGATCAAGTCGTATAAAAGCTCGAGTTCGTTAATAATTTCTACACTCAAGTGGCAGTAGAGCAGCGACGAAATGGGATACACCTCGGATACACGCGTTCGAATATATCTGTTTCGTCGTAAATGATGCACGTGGCCCGCGTAAAGTAAGACTCGTATATCGTTTACGACGCACCTGGCTGCAAACGTGTCAAAATAACGGTCTGATAATTTTATACCTTCTGTTTACTGAATGTAATGCATTCCAATCACAATATGCATCGCTGCATAATCGCGTACTTAAAAAGGAATACATTTGCAAACATCACGATGCGCACGATAGGTTATATTCTGTAAAATATTTCTCTTCATTTTCAATTTAATTAATACATTTAAATTATAACATATTTTTCGTTTAATAATATTTTCGTTTGCTAAAATTAATGTTAAAATTACTGGTTGACACATTTTTCTGAAATTATTACGCTTTATACGTTTTTCCAAGGGATAATAATAAATGTACAAAGATAATGAAAAAGATTGCACCGACGAACATTTGCAATTCAAATGATAATCCATGCCTCCTGGCCTACTTTAATATTTCGGGTAACATCGCCTCTTTCGCGCGAATGTAGCGAACAGAAATGGCGCGTTGGAGATTGTCCAGGATTCAGCCGGCTCGCTTTAGATTTGGCTACTCGGTCGAGGTGCGCGACTTCAATGAACTATAATTCTCGACGATCAATATCCAATACGCGACCTCCAGTGAAATCTCCGCCTAAAAATACTGTCTTCGTGAATCGAGAAACCGATGTGCCAGACGTTGCTACGGATACGTTTGCACGTTGTTAGAAATATAACTCTAAACCGAGAAAAAACTTTCTGAATTAAAACTATATATAAAAAGTTTCTTTCTCCTTTTTGCTCCGTTTGCTTAACAAATAAGAAATTAGGATTCGTAAAACTTTTAGCAAGTAATAGGAGGAAACAATTTTCATATGTAGATAAATTCTCTTTCGTAACTGCGACCGGAAATACATAGAAATTCTAACAATAACACGATTTATCACACAGCTCATTATAGAAACTGTCCATAATATGTTAGATATCTCCCTAATTAGGTTTCCCATTACATTTTCTGGCTTAAGGTGAAACGGGAAGAATCCGCGACGAAAAGAAAGGAGGAAAGAATTATCTGGAACGTCCTCGTATATCCTGCTCGGTGGTTATTGCGCGAAATGATGAGCAGGAGAAAATAATCCGCCATTAATCAAGAACCATAACCATGAAGGCATAATTCGGTGTGCAGCGTATATTTTCTGTATCAGTAGAAAGTCCGCTTTCCAGTGCGCGCTTCGGAGTGATATAGACGCTACACTCGACTAAGTTATGTCTGCAGGAAGAGATATTATAGGAAATTGCCTTTTAAAAAAAATTAATTGCTTTCTATTTCATAATAACGCCGCCGATAAATTTCTTCCAATAATTTACGGCGCATTGGGGAAGTAGGTGGTCGAGTCTTAATTATATCTTCGAATCGATGAATGAGTCAGTTTTTGGCAGGGCCGAGCAATGAATTTGAAAAATGGCTCTGTTTATCGCGTACCCGAATTTCCCTGTTTTATTTGACCCCGTGACAAATACGTAAGCAGCTTCCACGGTGCGCGTCAGCATGGCTAAGCGTTTAGGTTGATCGATTTTAAAAGGCGATCGACCGGCTGCGCGAAAGTTTTTGTAGAATACTTTCGGCGGAAGTAGTGGCTACACAGAGATATCTCAGATCAATTTATCTCTGTAAAATTAGCATCCTATTTTCGATATAATTGATAGAGTTCTGGCACTTATCCAAAGAGATGTAGAATTTCCGATACACATCAGTGTTTTAGCGAATATTTGTTTAACATGCGACATGCGCAAAACATTTTAGATAAATTGACAAAAATTTAATTTGCAACCTTTTCGATACTTTTTTTTATTTAATTTTGTTTTAAAAATGTCTCTCATTAACCTTTCTCGTTTCGGTGCATATTTACTATGACTTCTAATAATATATTCACCCCTGCATATGTACAGCTGCAACAATGTAGGACTTCCGTAGGGAACGTGGCTAAAGAGTTACGAGAGCTCATCCTGAATTTATGTACATGTTGTCACAAATATTTATAAAGAATCGCACAACGCATATAAGATCATAAAATTTTGCATGAAACTTCGCATTCAGCTTATTAATAAAAGAATCACTTTTCTAACCTCATGTTCGTGAACCTAGCATATCATTTTCCAGCAGATCAAAAATAAAAGAGAGTTCTTGTCGCATGCAGTCGAGTTCTATAGTTCCTTATAGTTTTTAGTAATAGTTCTGGTAATTTTATCCAAAAAAACACCAATCGAAAAAATGATCTGCTAACTTCCCGTAGCAGATCATTTTCTAGCAGATCAAAAATAAAAGAGAGTTCTTGTCGCATGCAGTCGAGTTCTATAGTTCCTAATAGTTTTTAATGATAGTTCTGGTGATTTTAATAAAAAAAACACCGATCGAAAAAAATGATCTGCTACGGAAAGTTAGCAGATAAAAAATAGAGGACACTGAACATATATGTGATATGCTGGCCGTATATTGATAGTTCTGTTGATAATTAAAGAATTTTCGTGTAGTTCTGAGCCAGTACATTGCTTTTCCAAAGAGTTCTGACGACTAAAATAATTAGAAAATTTTTTAACAATTATTTTACCCGAAAAACACGCATTTTTGTACATATATGTGATATGCTGGCCGCATATTGATAGTTCTGCTAAAAATTAGACAGTTCTCTTCTAGTTCTGGGCGAGTACATTGCTTTTCCAAAAAGTTCTGACGACTAAAATAATTAGAAAATTTTTAAACAATTATTTTACCCGAAAAACACGCATTTTTGAGTATATGTGTGATATGCTGGCCGTATATTGATAGTTCTGTTAATAATTAAAGAGTTTTCGTGTAGTTCTGGGCAAGTACATTGCTTTTCCAAAGAGTTCTGACGACTAAAATAATTAGTAAAATTTTTTAAACAAATTTATTATGTTCGTGAACCTAGCATATCATTTTCCAGCAGATCAAAAATAAAAGAGAGTTCTTGTCGCATGCAGTCGAGTTCTTAGTTCCTTATAGTTTTAGTAATTAGTTCTGGTGATTTTTATTCCAAAAAACTACCAAATCGAAAAATGAATCTGCTAACTTCCCGTACGAAGTTATACGATTTCTAGCAGATCAAAAATAAAAGAGAGTTCTTGTCGCATGCAGTCGAGTTCTATAGTTCCTATAGTTTTTAATGATAGTTCTGGTGATTTTATAAAAAAAAACACCGATCGAAAAAAATGATCTGCTACGGAAAGTTAGCAGATAAAAAAATAGAGGACACTGAAACATATATGTGATATGCTGGCCGTATATTGATAGTTCTGTTGATAATTAAAGAGTTTTCGTGTAGTTCTGAGCCAGTACATTGCTTTTCCAAAGAGTTCTGACGACTAAATAATTAGAAATTTTTACAATATTTACCCGAAAACACGACATTTTTGTACATATACTGTGATATGCTGGCCGCATATTGATAGTTCTGCTAAAAATTAAGACTAGTTCTCTTCTAGTTCTGGGCGAGTACATTGTCTTTCCAAAAAGTTCTGACGACTAAAATAATTAGAAAATTTTTTAAACAATTATTTTACCCGAAAAACACGCATTTTTGAGTATATGTGTGATATGCTGGCCGTATATTGATAGTTCTGCTAAAAATTAGACAGTTCTCTTCTAGTTCTGGGCGAGTACATTGCTTTTCCAAAGAGTTCTGACGACTAAAATAATTAGAAAATTTTTTAAACAATTAATTTACCCGAAAAACACGCTATTTTTG